GTGGTCAGTATCCTTGCCTGTCTTCGTTTCACTCACGCATCTTACTAGTATTTTACTTTTAGGTCATGGATCGTTTCAAGGACGACAAATCTCGGTGCACGGAGCACTTAGGGATGATACTTGACACCCTGCTTGAAGAAAACTACACCTTGTTGAATTATCTTTGCAACTTTCTTCGAAAGTTTCTTACGCACGAGTCCGTCAATAAGATGCCGGCCTCCAATATGGGCATTGTTTTCGGCCCATGTGTCTTCAAATGCAGCGCGGGTGTACAAGTGAGCCTTTTATGTATTCTTTTGTATTCTTTTTATAAACAATATTTCAAACCACATTACTTTAGCCCACGTATTCTGCCGTGGGATGTAAACTTTAAAGACCTTGCTTAAGAATTTTAGACTGCGAAGAATCTAAGTGATCCCTAACAACACTAAGGCGGTGCACCTGCATACGAAGACCACATCGGGGTCCTACTGGCCTTCGGGAATTAGTTCCTATACATCCTTAAACCTACAAGCATATCTTGCATAATCGAACCCATTTCGTCCATCAAGACCCTAACCGACTTGAAATGGTAGGATTCATAGATAGCAGAACATATTTTATCTGAAATCACGTTGAACTTTAGTTAAAAAGGAAAGTGGACGGCCTTCAAGCCACCATTTTTAATCCAAGTGGGTAGCATGTGAACCAGTGAGTGCTGCGTTTACCACATCTTCTCCACATTTACCAATGTTAAACTGGCAGGACAGAATCAAAGCAACTGGCGGTGAGTGTGGTTGTAAATAGCCAATAGCTGGCGGCTTTATAAGAGGGCGGGTATGTATGTATTGTATTTGTTCGACCATCGATTTCGATGAAGTCCACCAAGTGCACCAACAAGTTGGTACAGAAGGTTACAGTCTCGGGGGTAGCTTTAAAGTGATAGAGGACGTAGTTAGCGCCAACTGCACTCTTTACTTTCGCTCGGAGTCTCGAAGACTGAACGGGGCCCGGCGTAGGCTGCTTTCTCCAATGCAAGCCGAAACACCGCCTAACTTAG